TAGAAAACAATTTTCATTATGTAAAAATTTTTGTATTTCAAACCCTTCATTTTAACATGTAGAGCCGATCCCCTATGGGAGGATAGAGTTAAAAATTTATGGTATACTCACAGCACAGACTGGATGGAATTGCCTTGTTTCAATGCATATAGTGTTATGGTGGAGGAATTGACAGTATAGTTATCAACTGAATATTGTAGATTTTAATACAGGCTACATGTATATTTTGAATTTTAAATGAGGCTGTATATACTATGGGAACATAATTCATCACACTAGTTAATTAATGCTTAGAGATAGCTGAAAAATAAATGCTAACTTCCTACAGTAATATTGACATTCAGAATTATTTTCTGTTGTGGGCCTTTCAATGCAAAGGTACAATCCGAAAGGCTGTTAAGAAATATTTTAAGAAAATACCAGAAAGCTTTGAATGAGAAGTTTTAAAGTACCTTACTGCAACATTTATTTTTAATATTTTCATCAGAAATATAATTGATTTTTTCTTACAGAAAATTTTTTTGCTGCTGGGAAAACTTTCTGCCTAAAATATTTTAAACTGTGATACTTCTGATTATTTAAAGTTTGGATATACTACAGATACTGTGAAATATCATATATAGAGCAGAAAAAAAAATATAATCCATATCATATGACTCTAAGACCTTTTTTTATTAACTGCTAAAGCTGTTAAAAACTGCTTTACTGCACTGGAATTTGAAGCCTCTGGGATAGCATGTGTTCTTTGCTCAGAGTTTTCACTAGGATTTCCGATGAAGTTAAGATAGTTTAAGGCCATTACAGGTCACTTTTTGGGACAGGCCAGGATGTTTTCAGCGTCCCAAACATCATGGGGTACCAGGTACTGAACTAACTCTTCCCTTTGCTGTTTTGGCCAGATGGCTGAAGAAGGGATGAGAGGGAAAGATGAGCTGCTGCACTGGCTCTCTTCCATACATCTTTGTAGCTGGGGAGGAGACACTAACTGGTATGTGAGCTATTTTACCAAGGACGGTTTGCTGAAGAGGTGGGTAATATCTACAAAATGGCCAGATTTTGCTGCAGGACACCAGTATGCTCACTCTGAAATTCGAGTAATCCTGCATGATACTAGCTAAGCAGTTGAGTTCTTTTGGTCTGGTCAGTTTTAGGAAGCTAAAATGATAGATTTAAAGCCATTATCAGAGCAAGAGAAGACAGTGGCAGTGATTAAAATCACAATGATCCACATCATGCCTTTTATATTTTAAATAAGGTGAGCTAGGTCATAAAGTTTAAGTACTCTTGGTCTATAAAACAGAAAAAAGTTTTAAGGCAGCACCATAGAATGCCATAAGAGAGACCCTTGAAGACCTAGGAGAAATATCAGTAATCTAAAAGGCACTGGCTAAGGCTATATACATTACTGCAATTCAGTCTTTAGGCTCCCTGCTAGGAATGCTTGAAAGAGTGGCAGTGATGGTCAGTTGCTGATTTATGTACTAGAGGCATGCTGTCGGGGGTGAGGTGGGGGGGAAGTATATTCTGCCCTTTGTATAAGGCCTCAGATTTACATCAAAGTATTTTTTAAAAAATTATGCTGACAGGACTGCAGAAGAGGTTAATATCAATAGTTATTCTAATGTAGACAAAGTAAATATTGGGACATCTGAGCTAGGTTATTGCTGGCTAGTGTATGTGCATGTGTGAATGTGCATGTGTGACTAAAATGACTTGTTTCCCCTGCAGAATGCATCACTAGGGATGGAATGATACAGAGAATGGCTTATGGTCTGTGTGTCTGATGGTAAAAATCAATGACTTGCCTTATTGAAAGGTGCCCTGAGGGGCAAAAAGCAGTGAATAGCTTATTAGTTTGTGTGCTTATGCTGGCAGATGATAAAGCAGCATAGAAATCAGTCATAGACCATAATAAAGTACCTATCCCCATCTTAAAGCTCGTGTGTACTTCTGTCTCAGGGGAACATGCCTCCATTAACCCAAACTGTGCAGTAACTCATCTTTAACCACAGTACAAATATGCAGTAGAAGAGGAAGCAATAATGATTTCTTATGGTTACTGATGCAAAAAATACAGCTGATAAATTACTGGTGTGCAGGGCAAGATTTGTTTTGGTGTAATCCATAATTCTATTTTACTACTATCTGAACTGGTGTAGATGGACTCCAGCTGAGGATCTGGCCTGATTCCAGAAATATTTTAATAATTTCCAAAATAAAAGAGAAAAACATGGAGTGATGCAGCAAAGAAAAGACACAAGAGACAGAATGTTCTGACCTTTTTGGGTCATCATTTGGGTCACCCATTCAGATACATAAGACCTACATACAACTACATTGTCACTGAAGTATTTACTGACCTTAAAATGTTGTCATGCTAGGCATTATGTGTCATGCCCTGGGATGCTTTGCTTTGATGGCATACATCTGATTAATGCCAATAATGCCTTCAGCAAACGTAATAGCCATTTAATGTGAAGCTTTCCCATAAGATCACTAGGGTAGATCTGGCCTGAGAAGTAGAGGTGATGATTTCTTTTGGTTGCAAGGTGAAAGTACTGACTTCAGTATTTTCTTCCTTTAGTTATTTCCTAAGAGATACTGATGGCATCTGTGCTTGTATCCATGGCTATCCAAAACTAGTACGAACTGTGTCTTTTTTAAAGGATTTGACACTTCAAATATGTAGTATTTTGTCTTGAAATATGTCATAGTGATGGCCATATGGGGCAGAATAATTCCCTTAGCTGGACTAACCGATGTGTATCATTTCTTAAACAGATGGATAGACACGTGTACACACACACAGATCTGCTTACATTATGTTAGCTGTGGCACTCCCTGAAGGACATGCCTCTGGAAACAACAGGCAGAAATCCTGTCATCATATTGCTATGTAGAAAGGTGTTAATGGCTTCCATAATGAAGTTTCTAATAAAATGCTATACAGAAAGAGTTAAGCATATAGTGTAGCAGTTGCATCCAGAATGACAATAGGGCTGTTGCACGACCAAGCATTTGTTCTTGTATTAGAAATTTCTGAACTTCCCATTGCAGCAGCCACTGAAGGAAGAGTGATCAGGCTATCTTTGCAACACTGCTTGTCCCAAAGGAGCCTTGCAGCAGAAGTTTCCCAGGTGTAAAGTCAAGGGAAGCAAGAGGGAAAGTCTGTCTAAGCAGCTGGATTTGACTGAGATTCGTAAGTGCCCTGGAAAGAAGTGGCTGAAGTATTGGTGGGTAGGATAGAGATACCCCAGTTGAGAAGTATGCAGCTAGTTGTCCCCTCTTCTTAAGGAAGCAGGCCTTATCAGGTACAAAATATATGCCTCTTACATTTAGGACAATCCCTCACACTTCATCACAACGTAAAAGACTATTCCTTTTCTACGGTGGCAGATGTCTAGGGCTTTACTGACTGTACAGAGTAATTAAAAAGAAAAGAAATGGCAACAAAAATCCCCATCAAAACCATCACTGACAAATTAATCTTGTTAAAGACAAATGGCGATGCTTTCTGTTAGCTACTCACAAATTTGAATTTAAGAAAAAACAACACATCATGATACAACCTGAAAACTTTGCAAAATATAGCAGCAGTTGTGAAAGAAATGTGATACATCAGATGGGAATGGCATTCTACTTTGCAGAATAGCAGTTGCACACCCTGATACAATCTTTTTTTTTTGTTTGTTTTAATTCACGGGTACGTATGCAGCACGCTGCAAAGTACTGCTGAAGAAATAGGGCACTTGTGCTACTTGTGCTCTTCTCTTACCTTGTCTTCCTCAGAACAAGTCATACGTAATATTAAGCTGTAAATGTTTTCAGTTGTTCATTACTTCATTCCACTATATAAAGCACTTTTTTGGGGAGTGGTCTACATGTGTGAACTTGGACAAGCCACTCTTTGTATGGTGTTTTCTCACCAGCTATGTAGGGGTAAAAGCATTTATAGCACTAGCATGTTATGAGGACTGATTGTGCAGAAAGATTGGAAAATGGCTAGCATCTCTGGTAATATGGAGCACATATGTTTCTAAGACAGATTAATAATGGCATGCTTTATGTAATATTTTATATAGAACATGTTTGAAATTTGTAAACATTGGACTGCTCCATTATGGATCAGTATTTTCCTTATCATTACACTTTGGGCTTTCAACACAATTATGAAAGGATTTGAAATAACACTAGGAGAATACACAGCTGAACAGAAATGAAGGAATGGGAATTGCACTTGTATAAGGAAGTGGGATCTTTCTGCAAAGAAAATGGGCTTTTATCTCCTCACAGCTGACTATGCTAAGGAGTGCAGGGTATTCCCCAGCTAAACATGCAGCAGGGAGTGGCAGATAGAAAGGCAAAAATGAATCCATTATTACCAGCATTTTTTTACAACGGAAATACAACCTTCCTTGTCCTGGTCCACAGTTCTTTAAAAGATACACCATGGTTTTGGACTTGTTGCACCATAGATTGAGAGAATTCCAATGACTATGTTGCCAGTATGGACAATTTTCCAGGAGGTTTCCCCCAACCGAGAGTAACATGCAATCAAGATCAGTTACTGTACACTTGATTATAACGCTTCCTCCGCAGAAAGTTTGTATCAGTAAGCACACTTGCTTGGTGCCTCAGTCTCTCCTAACTCAATTCTCTTGAAAGGAAAAGGATGACTGATGGCCTCATCTGAGAACTGATCCAAAGCCTGCTGAATTCAGTGGGTGAATATATGTTAACATTTTAGATGAGATAAGGCTTGTTCTTTTGAAACAAATCTTCATTTACCGTGCTTTGGTTTGCTCTTGGAGAACACTGGATTCCTTTCAAATGAAGCTAATAGGGAAATTCACTCCATGAGTGTACCTATGCATGTCAGCTAATGATAGGAGGTCAGTCCATGAAACTAGACTAGAGCTAAAGTAACACTCCTTTCCCAAACACACACACTGTAGGTGCCAGGTCTTGAGCAGCCACTGTTTCAAGCTGCAGATATGCACCTATTTTGCTGCCCTCCTGGTGAAAGCAGATACAGCCAAAGAGAGTCCCTTCCAGACACCTGACCCCTGCACAGCCTGGTGAAATTGAAAAGAACCCTGCACAAAAGAAGGGGAAGTTTGGGTAGCATTGCAAGTCATGACATAAGTTTCCAGCTAAAATGGGAAAATTAATTTTGTTTTTCTCTAGTTGGATCTTTCCTCAGGAGCTGCAATTTCACACACAGCAAAAGAAAATAAATGTAAAAATTACTGTGGACCCCAACACATCTTTTTTTTTTTTTTTTTTTTCCCCTTTCTTTCCTAGGAACCTTATAATAAGACTATTCTGATTCCCTAAGGAGGTAAATTTGATATTTCTCCAGTGTGAATCCAGACCCTTCTGGATATTAATCCACTTCACAAAGTCATTACGAATAATTTAGCATAAAAGCAGCCTTTCTCCTCACAAGACAAAGCGCTGAGGCTGAAGCATTTGTAGAGCAGTGTGAAAAACATAATGTAAACTGCCTTGGCTCCATTTGGATGGAGTATAAATAAGGAATTTTGGCTTCAAATCCTGTCAGTCTCTTAGTCTTTTTTAGCACAAATACTCAGGAAAAACAATGATAATATCATTTGGCTTTTTTATTCCTTTATCTTTTTTTTTTTTTTTTTTTTTTTTAAGTCAATGCGTAATTACTGGAAAGCATTTCTGACTGAATTTTAGATGAGCATTTTGACAAAATATAATATTAGAAACAATCTTTATCAAACATTCATGTCTAGTGTGAGAGATAAAAACAGGAATCCATAATTCATATGGCAGAGTATATTACCAAGTGTGAGTAAGAGGCTGAATTTAAATGAGGGGGTCTGAACAATATTTTCTGCGAGGCATCTGCGTTAATCATTTACATTATTCACTAGGTTTTCCAGAACTGTAAATCTTAAATATATATTTTTGTTTGTGAGAATGTGTATGTAAATACACACATATATGCACACATACACAAAGCGTTAAACACATCCACACATCAGCACATATTTGTGCAGATACAGAAATGTGTTTGCATACAGAGACACAACAGTTTAGGGCCTGATTTTGAAATCATTCTATAAGAATGGGAAGGCTCCTATTGACAATGATAGATTTGGGGATCAATATCTTAGTGCCTTGGTTTTTCGCCTCTTACCCTGAGTTTGCGGTGCTATAAATAAGATTAAGGTAAAATAAAGGCAAGTCCTTATTTACCCTAAAATAATAGAAACATTTACTTAGTTGACAACACACATTACAGAAAAGCAAAAAAACCCACAGTGAATGGGGTCAACCTACACTGAGATGAAATCCTAAAGACCTTTCTGTAAACTGTTGTATCCAACTGACATTCTTACCCAAATTGTGTTTTCAGGACTGGCTCACTATGCTTCAGGGAGCAATGACAAGAGAATGAGCAGCTATGCAGGGTTCAACCAGAGCCTGCATGGGGCCCCATCCAGATCCAAGGTTTCCCTTACCCAACTGACCCACCTTAAATCAGATGTGAAGGAATTTTAATCCTCCTCCCAGTGGTTATCCCTGCCTAGTTTGACTCTGCCTATGCTACTAGACGTTAACTCTTACCAAGGTAGCAAAAGCAGTCACCTGATGATGGCTGGGTGCTTCAATAAGCCCTAACCAGATTTTTGGCCCTTCATGATTAAGCAGGTCCTCTTCTCATTGGGCTTTCAAATTCTACGGTGGTTTTTTTTTGCTTATAACATAATAACACTTAGATTTCACATAAACTTACCTACTTGCTAATCACACTTAACATACAGCTATGGTTATGCATACAGCAGTTACTGGCTCATTTTTGACTTGTAGGAAGGCAAGTGAAACTGATAATGAGTTTAAAGGCTTGCTGTTCCCCACCCCTCTTTTGGAAGGATGTCAAGATAGTCCTTCTTTTTCCAGTTGTGGTTACAGTGTACAGTTCAGTCCTCTTATTGAAAATCCCTTTTCAGAGACTTGTTTAGGTAGTACCTGAGAAAGATTCATGATGGCAAAGACAAAGGCCAGTACTAACCTGGGTTCAGGGTCTGATGCTCACATATTGATTCTGACATTATATCCTACATAAGAAGCATCTGCTGTGCCAGCTTTTGTGTAACTTTGTCACCTGCATAACTACTGCTTTTATTTCCATGTCCCAGTTTAGTGGCTGGTAAAGCAGTAGCTGTCACCTTGTTTCAGAAGGCCAGAGGACTAGAAATAGCTGAACTCTACTACAGGAACAAGGTCCACCTCCTCTGATGGGCCTCAGAGATTGACTGTTTAAAGAAATCTGTCTCGCTCCTTCCACTAGCTTTCATTTGTTAAAAACAGCCCCCCGTGTTTTCTTCAATAGAACTCTGGGTGTTGCTTTTTTATCCCTTCCACTTCTCACTCTCTATTTCATAAAAATGTATTTCTTGACTCTAGCAGATCTGTTTGCCAGGTCAGGAGCACCTGGTATTGCTGTACAGGAGGCTGTCTTACTCTGGTATGTATGTGTTTATTTCAATAACTGTTACTTTCTTGGAGAGCAACAGTGAACAAATGATAGAATAAAAATACCAAAACAGTGAAAATCTTTCTCAATACAGCATTCACTGAGTTATATAGGGCATATTAAAAAAAAATTCACAGTTTTTAATTATGTACAGCAGACAAGTCAATGAGGAATCATGCATGAAATCCATGCACTCTGAAGACCAATGAAAAGGAATTTCACCTCTTTTTATGAAGCTGAGCCCAAGTGATTAAAATGATTGTGCCCTATCATTTTAATTCTCTTTCCCCTAAGCTTTCTTTAATGGTGCCCTCTTTCATGCTTAAGCAAAATGATGAATTAATTCAGTTTCTCCCCTGTGGGGCAGAAGAAAAGCAAGATTCAACACATCCCATTCTGCCAATATTTCATTCACAAGGCACACTACATTTACCCACTTTTTCCTCCTTCATTGTTTTATATTGTTATCCTGAGAAATGTACACAGATCATAGAATTGGAAACTGTGAGACATTCTGATGAGAAATGAGATGTAGTGCAAGACTGTGCAACATAATTTGGAACAAAGCACTACTGAGAGGATGGGGAAGAAGGGCGGACACACATTTGCTGGAAAAGGGCCTGAGCTACCCTCCATTAGTACTGTCCTGTCCAGTGTATATACTATTGAAGCAGTCATATAGCTCATAGCTTTCACTATCCTGGTCCAGTGACCTTCCTTTCTGATCTTTGGCTAGTCACTTGGGAGTACTGACACTTCCCAGCTTTAGCCCTTTGACTAAGATGGGAACCTAGGCTCTGACTGTGCCCCTTTAAAGCATCTGTGATGGTATCCTCAAAGGCAAATGCTCTAACCATACCCAGTCTGTGGCAGGATCTTCAGGATTCTTGAGTGCTTCCTAATCCAGCAAATATATTAGGCCCTTTAAACAATGCATCAGTGGTTGGATGTACCAGTGTCCCTCATAGGGGTTGCCTGAATCCACTGTTCCATGTCCCACAGGGCTTTGTGGCATGGCCCTCACCACTAGGTCTTCACAGGATGTCCAGCCACTCCAAATCACAGAGTCTTTTCAATGGCTCTATGTCACAGGCAGAACATGCACCCTTTTCACACATCTGATTGTTACATCAGCATCTAGGTCTACTGTCAGCTTCTTGTCCGAGGGATGGGGATGGGATGCAGTTTTGAGGTGGGAAGTGGTATAGGTACTTCTCTTCAAAAAGGTGTATTACTCCTGAGAACTTATTTTGGAAAGCTTTCTGAAACAGCCACTTTTATTCATAGACTAACTGGTTTAAAGTCTTAGATAAAAAGCAGTTTTGTATCGGAGTTGTAAGCAGGGTAAAATTGACAATAAGGCTATGAATAGTCACTTCTACTTAGATTTTGATTCTTTCTTGTCTATGGAATGAGCAACCACCATACATCCTTATCAGGGAAGTTGCTGCAGAGCTTATGGTGGTACATGATCCCAGGAGGACAGTTATTCTGTATTTTGACCCCAATATTTCCAGAGAAGTTAATACTGAAACATCTGACATAACTGATGCAGCTGTGGACCTTTTCCAATCAAAGAATGGCCACCAGCCCAAAGAAAGCTTTTGATAGCCTGGCCCATGCCCAGTTTTTATAGCCTCTGTAGTATGCCTGCCCTTGTATGGATGACTATAGACCTCACTCCAGTAAGAGATGCCATTTAGTACTATGCATTTGGCCTATAAGGCACTTTATCAGTCAGGCTCTGGTCCACTTAATAACCGTGACTCCTTCAGGCAAAAGTAGGCCATCCCCTGTAGGAGTCATGCCAATGTTTCCTGTTGTGGTCTGAACTCAGCCGGTGGGAAATCGCAACGCGCCAGTTGCTTACTTCCCCCCCTCCAGGTGAAATAGGGGAGGGACAGGAAAAAAATAAATCTGTAGGTTAAATAACAAAAATTTACCAGCAAAACCAGCAGTAACGATGGCAGTCTAAACCGGGTCAAGCGCAGTACCGGCTCAGCGAATGGCGAGCGGCGCAGGGCCCGACCCCAGCCCGCCCCGCCAGCCCGAACACCCCCC